TTTGCTCTTTGCATTGATTGGTGTGTTTTATGTTGTTTCTCTGTTTGTTTGTTTCAAAAATAAAAAATAAAGTCTTTAAAGAGCCAGAAGTGACTAAGAAATCAGTCCCTGATTTCAACAATTTCCCCATTGTTCTTCCTAAGAAAGAAGTGGGTCCAGCAATAAAAGATAAAATATCCCTTTAATAGATCCTTAGTCTTAAACCACAAACCTCTTTATCCTTTCTTCATTAACTAATTCTGTGAAATATCAGTGTTTCATCTGTGCATGTGTGTTGTGATATCTACTCTCTTGTGTTAAAAATGGGAAGCTTGATCTTTAAGTATTCTTCTTCAACTCTTGCATTTTAAGTGCCTAAAAAAATCAATATCTTTTAAGTTCCTGAGGTGCCTAAGAAAGTAGAAGAAAGACGAATCATTCCACCTAAAGAAGAGGAAGTTCCTCCAGTTGAAGGTAGATGACTTTCTAAGAATATAGTATTTCAAAGTCATCATTGTCTTATTATTATCTAATATTCAAAGGAGGCCAGTGTACTTTTCACCCCAGAAAATAAACATGCAGACTCTAAATTACCTTTATCTAATAGAAATTGGGCAAACTAATACCATTTGAATCTCCTCTGGCATGTTTAACTTACTTGTCTATTTGCTATGTTTTATTTCAATAAAAATTCTGGAAGGGGAACTATTTTCTGTGGGAAATGTTTTATCAAATGGCTTGATTATCAATGATGGAATAAAGCTTGTCCAAGTGACATTCTAGGTAACTGGTACGGATCTAATATCGACTAGTTAGTGGTTATTTGACACCAAACAGGTCCATTTCCATTAAAATAATAATTTTAGCCTAAATTTTCAGAGGTTTTTTCCAGTTACAAATGATGAAAAGGAACTAAGATTTTGAAAACTCCAGTAGATTATTTTTTTAAGGACTAGTGACTTTTCTCTAGCATTTACAAGGCTGAGCAGGCTTAAGATGTATCATTTTAGTCTAATGTTCAAAAGAATTGTAAAAATAACTTAAAATAATAATCTTTTAAAAGTGTTTGAGGAGCCTGAAGAGATTATTTCAGAAGAGATCCCAGAAGAACCACCTAGCATAGAGGAGGTGGAAGAGGTGGAGGAGGTGGAAGAGGTGGAAGAGGTGGAAGAGGTGGAAGAGGTGGAGGTGGTCGAGGAGGTGACGCCACCTAGAGGTACACCTGCTCTTATGGGTTGGACACTAAAATATGTGGCATTCTAAATCTTTCTCAGAATTTATCTAAACCTAATGTTTACCACTCTACTCTCCTTACATCGACATATCAATGAATATTGAAGAATAATTATTCCTGGTACCTGAAGCTATCTGTCCCTTTATTTTTTCCCCTAACTTTTCCTACTTCATCTTCAATACAGCTAAAAACCAAGGAGAGATGATTTTTCTGTTATTGGCATATTAATACTTTCTCCTAGATTGGAATTCTTATTTTTGTCTTCAATGTAAATGTGGAGGAGCAATTTGTGTGGCGAAAGTGTTCATTTTTTAGTATAATTCTTAACCATTTGTTCCTGAAGACCACCACAATCTTTTGCATAACTGATGTTACATTTGCTTATGGGATTTTCTAGTAATATCCTTCACACCTCTAGAGCCACTATGCCATATATATTATTACCCTTTAGGTTGCTAACATCTTTTAAAAATACATTAGTGTTTTGTGTTTATTCTTTTGGAATATGAATGTTGTTCTGTTCATTACATGCTTATTCTGTTCATTTTTCAAAATGTCCATAAAATATCTTTTAAGTGCCTGAAGTGGTTAAGAAAGCAGTACCTGAAGCACCTACTCCTGTTCCTAAAAAAGTGGAGCCACCACCAGCTAAAGGTATAGCAAATCCTGATTAATATCTTTAAATTCCTATTAATTTTCTTTCCAAAGATCAAATGTCTTCTTTCACCGTTTCTTTATAGTAATTTATTTTTTTATTAACTCTTTCTTAAATTTATTAATTCTATGGTTGTTCAAAACATTACATAGTTCTTGACATATCATATTTCACACTTTGATTCAAGTGGGTTATGAACTCCCATTTTGAATGTTGATGGAATGTTGATGTTGTTAAAAAATTTTTAATTCTCATTGCTTCCTATTCAGTTAATCCTTTCAATAGCATCTTTCCCAATTAGAATATACAATTCCTATCATAATAAACTTCTCAGCAAATATCATAGTGCCCAACAGAATGTATGGCTCATATTAGTTTAAGTACTCTGGGATGCTAATTACTGCAAGACTGTTCATCAAATGAAAAATAGTAGAAATAAGTCCAATGTTGGTAATCTCTACTATTAAAAAAAAAAAACTCAGGTTCTTTGTGGACTAACCTTCTAAGGGTAAGGATAGCACAAATAAATAGTCTGGAAAAATGTCCTATTGCCTTTAAAATAGGCATCCAACAGTACAGAGTGGTGTCGATGTTTTATTGTAATGCCAATGTTTCTGATGCTCTTATTTATGTGCACTCTTGAGCATTGTCAGCTAACTAAAACACCTAATATCTTTAAAGTGCCAAAGAAAATTCCTGAGGAAAAAGTACCTGTTCCTGCTCAGAAGAAAGAGGCACCCGCAGCCAAAGGTACATCTTCTCTAAAACCTAAATCTCTGCTTTTACCTTTAAGACTTTCATGTTTTATGTCCTTGTGTCTTGATTGGTGATGATGTCTGTTGTCTGTGAAAGTTTATTCTTGACGGTCTTAAACATTAAAAATGTATCTTTAAAGTGCCTGAAGTACCAAAGAAAGTCCCAGAAAAGAAAGTCCCAGAAAAGAAAATCCCAGAAAAGAAAGTCCTTGTGCCTAAAAAAGAAGCTGTTCCCCCCACTAAAGGTATTTTTGGAAAGATCTTTGTTTTTGTTTTTTATGTTGCATGCAAGCCTTTTATTAGTAGTTTTCTTACATTTTCAATTTACTTCTTTGTTTCTTCTGTGTTTAAAATAATAAATGTCTTAAAGTAGATGATCTTTCAGGGAGAACTGTTCTTGAAGAAAAAATATCAGTTGCCTACCAACGAGAGGAAGTAGTAAAAGAAAGACTAGAATTAGAACTAGTAGAAGCAAAAGTGGAAGAAGCTCTCGAAGAAGAAGAATTCCATGAAGTTAAAGAATACTTCGAAGAAGAAGAATTCCACGAGGTAGAAGAATTCCTCAAAGTAGAAGAACGCAGGTTTCAAGAACACAAAGCTGAAGAAGTCCATAGGGTCATAGAGTTTTTAGAGGCTGAAGAAGTGGAAGTATATGAAAAACCCAAAGCTCCACCTAAAGGTAGAGGGAATTGTGCAGATATTACTCTTTGTTATATCTTGCTCTAACTGGCTTTCTTTTGAAAGTACCTTGTATGTTTAGTTTGAAACAGTAGAAAAACCTGTGAAATACTTCAAGCATGAATTTAAACTCTGAAACAAACATTGATATCAAATACAGATTAACCACACAGTATAATTTTCACAGACGAGAGAGTAATATTTGATATGTACATATCTATAGAGATCAACATATAAATTTGTGAATTCTTTTAAAAATCTGACCAATATTGTTACTTGATTGTTAGAGATACCAAAATAACTGACCAGTGTCATGAAGTGAAAAAGAAACTCGTCAGTTCACTGAGAATTTACCTGCTCTGGCCGGACAACCATTGCTTTATTAATATTTTGGTCAACAGTGCACAAATTGATAATTGCCTTTCAAAACCTTTTGCAGTTTTATCATGTCTTAGTTTAAAAAATAAGGAAATAGAGCAAGTATTGATAATGATACCTGCATTCTGGTAAATTCTGAGGATAACTGTAGTTCAACTAAGTTCTCTACTACTCTGAATCTTGCATAAATTAATAATTATGTAAGATGAAGAAATATGTGTTTTATACAGTAAATGTATAATATAGACAATATCTAGCAAAATCAAATATTTTTTGGAAGTAAGCATAATATAAATTCAAAAAATATAAGAAAAGCATTTTGTGAGCCTTCATTCTAACTTTAGAAGTAATGCTTCATAAGACTTTTGAGTTGTTTTTTTTTTTTTTCTAAAACAAAGCACTAATATCTTTTAAGGGCCTGAGGTATCTGAGAAAATCATCCCTCCAAAAAAACCACCCTTTAAAGTTGTTCCTCGAAAAGAGCCACCAGCTAAAGGTATTTTATTGGTGAAAAATTACTTACCTAAATTATGTATAGTAGCCCTTTTGTTGCTTTATAACTTTGCCATCTGTTTGATGTTTTTCTTTGGTGTTTTGTTTTGGGAATTTCTAAAACAAACTAACATCTTTAAAGTAACTGAGGTTCCAAAGAAAATTCTTAAAAAAAAAAAAAAAAGACAATCACTGTTGTCATTACCATCTAGATGTACTTGTTAACCAAAGAGTGAACTCAAGTATCCTTCTTTGATTCTGTTTGATTTTATGTTCACTAATATCTTTACTCGTAAGCCCCTGCTTTCCTATTCATTATAAATGGCATTAAAGTATATTAAATATAAAAATATAGTTTCTATGTGTTTAATGTCTCTGCTTTATGTTTGCTAACCTCTTGAATTTCACAATAGAAATTTTGTAAAGCTTCTAATAAATAATATAAACTCATATCTTAAAAGTCCCTGAAGCATATAACTTATATAAGAAAGTTATCACTGAAAAGAGAAAGAACAGATTATTCCACCAAGTCAAGCAGAAATAATACCAAGTTCTTACCATTTTAATATGAGAAATCTCCTGGATATTTCATCAAATTTTAACTCATTTTTAGTATTGTTAAGTATGTCTGTGTTTTATATTGTGGCTATATCCTGCTTTGTTTTTATATCTCTTATGCTCTCTGTGTTAAAAATCTTTACGACTTTTTAAAAGTAAAAGAAATTTTTTACTGCTATCTTTAAAGTACCTGAGGTGGCCAAGAAAGCTGTGGTAGAAGAAAAAGTTCGTGTTCCTGAAGAACCAAAAGTTCCACCAACTAAAGGTACCTGCCTTTGCTGATTACCACTAATATAAATCCCTTTTTATTCACTTTCTAAAGAGGAGAGAGACCATTCTCCCCTCAGGGCCACAAAATGACTGTGAATGATCTAAATTTCAACTTCTGTTCTATAGCATGATCTTTCCTTTTATGTGGTGACCCTTTGGGAACAAAGACATAAGCCTGAAAGTTACTGTTTTTATTGGTCCTTTTCTTAAGTAATAATGAAATAATATTGACCCCTCAACTTCTCTTCCAAATATAATCCATCTTAGAAGCTCTTTTCAAGTTGCTCTGGGAATAAGTAAAAAAATGTTCTAAATGACAATATCAAATGACCGTTATCTCCAAAGAGCAGAGTGTCTGTGATATAACAAAGAACTTATCAATAAGGCAAAATCTAAGAGGAATACACTGCACGTCCATGCAAAATTCTGGAATTTTGACTTTCTCCTTTGGTAGAGGCCCCTTTTGGTTTTGGTCTTGATTTGTCTATATCCAATTATGATCTTCTTTAAAATAAGACAAATAAATATCTTTAAAGCACCTGAAGCACCCAGGAAAATTGTTCCAGAAGAAAAAATTCGTGTATCAGTCCCTAAGAAGCCTGAAGTTCCACCAGCTAAAGGTATACACTGATAGTGATCACAATACGAAGTATCTCTAAGATAGTTTTCATTGCCCAGAGCAAATGAATGTGATATTAAATCTTAGTATGTTGTTTCTTTATATTCTTAATATCTTATATTTCTTATTAATAACAATAAATATACTAATATCTTTAAAGTTCCTGAGATGCCTAAGAAAATTATGGAAGAAGAAAAACCTACTGTTCTTCCCGAAGACACAGAAATATACAGTGAGTGTAGAAAAATTTAAAGTTCTCTTTGGTTTCATCTGTGTTCTCAAATTCACTGTGTTCATCCATATAACTTTAAAAAGTTAACATACTAATATCTTGTAAATATTTGTCTCAAATAATTTGAATGACCCCAAGCTTTAGACAAGATACATCTCCTTACACTTTAAAAAAATAAATATAATATTACCCAATTTTAGAAAAAGCATTTATCTTATTGAATTTTTCTAACCTCTGTTTATAAACATCTTTTGCTTTGAAGCAATTTGTTTTCTTAGACCATTAAGTGAACCATAATATTTTAGTTTAATTTCAAAGAACCAGGATCTCTACCATTATTATTTTTTTACTCCTCACAACAATCATTAACATTTGGCAATGCTGCCCGAGTGGTTATAAATTTATAAGACCATTAAAAACCCAAAAAGTATTATCAAGACTTTTTTTTGCCTTAATACAAAACTACAATTAAACAATTTTAATAGTAAAATATTATAAAAAAGAATTCTATTTAAGACTCTGAATAGTAAAAATGCTATATTCCATTTTTAATCTAAAAAAATTATACTATATTGTGATAAAAGTATACAATCACCCCATCCTTTGAATACCTTTTCTATATTTGAATTTAGTTCTTACTGTCAGACAGTCTTCCTTTTTAAATTCTGAAGAAATCCTTTATTATTTTTATTGGCCTTATTTTCCAAATATTTAATCATTTTTTCTTTTCTGCTTCTAATCCCTAAATGATTTTCACACTCATTTTAAGCTGTGAATCCATAAATGAGATGTGATTTTAAAATATACTTTTCCTCCCAGAAGTGGAAAATATTTACATGAATTTGCAATAGGTCAAATGTAGAAAGCAAATTCCCCATGGTAGCTCAACATCTTCCCTGATTTTTATGCACAAATCCATTAAGAAGTAGAGCAATTGGACGATTTTATCAAAAACTTCCTGCAGAAAAAAATTGAAGAATTTTATGGTCCTTGCCTGATGAATTCCTCAATTTCATTCTCATTCTCATAAATAAATGCCATAAAGAGTCCTATATCATAAAACTGGGAGTGAAACTCATGTTCAGTCATTGCATTCATGTCTGTGTACTATCATTAATTTGGGTGATGAGTGTATATTATATGTTGTTTTATTGATACTATTCTTCATCTACCTTGAAATACCCCTAATTATCTAAATACTAATATCTTTAAAGTTTATGAAGCATCTGAAGAATTGGTTGTAGAAGAAAAAGTGCTTGTGACTCATCCTGAAAAGGCAAAATACAGAATAGCAAAAGGTATATAACATCAATGATCCAGTCTTAAAAAATTGATTTGGGGGTTCAGTTTAGAAGCTCAATATTTTTCTTCATCATTTATAAATATAACTGTACTCATGTCTTTAAAGCAGCTGAGCCACCTGAGCAAGTTGTTCCAGAAGAAAAAATATATGTGACTATTCCTAAAACAAGAGAAGCACCAGCAACCAAAGGTATTTTTCAACTGTGTCCAACTCAGATGAATATCTTTAAGATTCAAAAACTGCATGTTATGTAATTGACTTGTTTTACAGCTTCTAAGTATAAACCTACTAATATCTTTAAAGCACCTGATATAACCAGAGAAGTTCTTCCAGAGGTGGAGTTACCTGAGGCTGTTCTTAAAATTCCAGAACATCCTCCAACTGAAGGTATAATTCTCTAGTTCTGAAAATCTAAAGAAGAAAACCTTTCTTCTAAAGTTGAAAAAATCTGTTTAGAATTTTATGTACATTCTCACAACCTATAATGCTAAAATACTAATATCTTTAAAGCATCTGAAAAAGATGCCCAAGACAAGGAATTACTATCTAAAGTCAAGACTCACTCAAATAATATACAAAGATACACTATTTAAAAAAATTAAATTTCCAACTTAAAATTACAATATCTGTCAGTATACCTAATTCTTTGTATGTCATGTCTTTGTCTGTCATGTCTTTGTCTTTGCCTGTTTTAACTAAACACTACTAATATCTTTAAAGAATTTGAAATCTTCAAGGAAGTGGTTCCAGAGAGACGAACTCTTGTTACCAAAAGAAGAAAAACATTACCACCAACAGGTACAAGTCCCAATAAATAGGCTTTCTTATCTCGTGTTTGTAGTAATGGTTAACACATGTAAAAATACTAATATCCTCAAAGCACCAGTGGTTACCAAGGAAATCATTTCAGAGAAATGGGTCCCCAGAGAAGAAGCTTGACCAAGTATACGCATGTCCCAGTGAGCCACTCAAGAGGCAATAGAGAGAAGATCTTTAACTTATACAGATGAAAGATAGTTGAGTTATACAGTTTATGAGGATAACAGAGAAAACAATGTATACATAATATGTCCAAATATGACCCAGATGTATTCTTTAATAGGAAACAGCTATCTTTCCTTTAAAAATAATAAAAATCAGACTAGCTAGAAATAATGGACACAAGACTAGATTGAATTGGTTCATTCAGTGCCGTCAAATAACAAAGGTGTTAGATTGTGCATGAGATGGCAATAATTCAGTCCTCCATGGGACTGGAAATTCAGGAAATATAGCCTTTCAGAATTGTTTTTCCTATTAAGATAAACTTAGTGCTAAAGTAAGCATATGAATATGAAATTACTGATTTCCAATAAGAAATATCATAGAAATATGTTTAGAAAATCATGACTTAAAGAAAATGAAATATTCGATGTGAAGTTGCTGTTCTTGTAATATCATTTCTTACCCATGAGACACATCTGAGAGCCTTCTAAAACTAAGGCAGGGAGGGGAGGGGGGATAGTAGAGGATAGGAAAGGCAGCAGAACACAACAGACACTAGTATGGCAATATGTAAATCAATGGATGTGTAACTGATGTGATTCTGCAATCTGTATATGGGGTAAAAATGGGAGTTCATAACCCACTTGAATCAAAGTGTGAAATATGATATATCAAGAACTATGTAATGTTTTGAACAACCAACAATAAAAAATTTAAAAAAATAAATAAAATAAAGGTATAAAAAATTTTAAAAAAATAAAACTAAGGCAGAATTCCAGTTAATTCTGGAACTCGCTTTCTAAATATATTTCTATGATGTTAAATCCTCTTGGAATCGGCTATTTCACATTCGTATGTGTGCTTTTAGCAGTAAGTAAATATTTTAATAGGAAAGTGATTTTGACAGGCTGGTAAATTCTGGAATTCCAGTCTCATGAGAGATGAATAATTACCTTCTGGTGCATAATCAAGCACCTCTGTCATTTAGTGGCACCAACTCCTCCTTTAAATGGTCATGTGTTAAGCCCATTCACTGTGGTTTCAGTCCTGAGCACTCTGTTCTGAATGTTTGCTCCACTCCTGCTCTGTTTTATTTTTCAAGCATCATACATTTTCCCATTTTAAACATTTTTCAGATACATTAAAAGCTGGGAACTTTTCAAAGCTTCCAGAATAACAATGTCTTAATAATGCCCATGATATTCTGGAATTGAAAGAACACCCAAGTACTCTGATCTTTCTTTCTCAGTCTGGCATCTTTTGGTTGTTCTCTCCTGAACTCAAAAAAACACTATTTTTTAATTTTTTTAAGTTATAGATGGACAAATATCTTTATTTTATTTATTTATTTTTATGTGGTCTGATGTTCGAACCCAGCACCTCACATTGCAAGGCAAGTGCTCTACCATTGAGCCACAAACCCAGCCCCAGAAAACACTACTTTAATGAGACTAAGGTGAGGGTACAAAAAAAGAAGCCAACACAGATAAGAACATCTGTTTTATCTTCACAAACTAAATTGTTAAAGATACCATTAGTGGCTGTCTTTTTTTTTTTTTACTTTCAATAATCTAATTTTCTATACACCTACAATTGTAAGAAAAAAAATATTAATATTTATAGCATCTGAATTGACCAAAAATTAAAAAAACAAAAACAACCCCTGATAATCAGGCGTTTATACTGGTACTAAGAATCAGATTCTGGGGATTCCCAATCTGTAGCATTTCTGTATATAACTGGAACTCTTCACTGCTCCTCATAACTCAAAAGTATACTACATTAATATCTAGAGAGTGCTAGAATCACCTCAAGACATTGTCGCTTGTAAAAGCAAAACCCATGGCAGTTCCCTCTGAAATCGAAACACCTCCCCAAAAGGCATCATGGTTATTCTCATTCCTTCATTTATTTAATAAGTGTCTACTATGGACAGGGCCCTAGGGAGCTAAAGAATAATTAACAAAAACGAGTAAGATTTGATGACTCTTAAGATTTTGCATCTCATCAGATTCTTGAAGGAAGCACCCTAGTAGCCATAAAAATCACTTAGGTTCAGTTCATGGAATTAATATCTCCACTGATCCTTTTAACCTCTGAGAATAATACTAATATCTTCAATGCACCAGAAGCCATAAAAGAAGCTGCTCCTGAGATGAAAGTCATTGAGGATGTTCCTGAAGAGCCAGAAATGCCACCTATGGAAGGTACATGCCACCTCTGAACAGATATGGAAGAAGAAATTATCCATCTTCTGCTCCTAGAACTGTTTTTTTCTAACACTCATTGTGACTCTAAACATAAACATACTAATATCTTTAAGGCAACTAAAGCTTCATAATTCCCTCCAGAAAGAAAGAATTTGTGGCTGTTCCTACCACAAACTAAAACCTTTCTACTAAAAGGATTCATTCAAAAAATACAGTCCTCCCTCTGTCTCCATGGAAGATTGGTTCCAGGACTCCACAGATACTAAAATCCATGGATGCTCAAGTTCCTTACATAAAATGAGGTACCAGTTCCATGTAATTAATAAAATACCTCATATACATGAAATCATTTAGATTACTCATAATAACTAATAAAATGTAAATACTATATATTTGCTATGTTGTTTAGAGAATAATGATAAGAAAAACAGTATATCCATACACAGTGCAGACACGACTTTTTCATCTGTAGCTGGTTAAATGGAGGATGCAGAATCCATGGATACGGAGGGCCGACTATACTGTGCAATGAGGGTGTGGGTGTTACAAGAATGCTGCTGGGTAGTAGAGCAGGGCAAGTCCCTCTTCTTAAGGATCCATGAATCCCTCTAGGTTAGTGTATTGATGAAGAAGGGAAAGAAAGTTCTAGAAAGTTGCATTCGCTATCTTATTGTAGCTACTGTTTTCACGAATATTTTAACTCTTAAATGTACAATACTAATATCTTTCAAGTGCCCGAAACTCCTCAAGAAGTTGTTCCTGCAAAAAGAGCTCCTTCCAAAAAGAGAGAAGCTCCCTCAGCTAAAGGTACCTGTCACTAAACCCTCAGGCTCAAGAACTGACTCCAACAAGTTTTGAAAATAATTTGCTCTTCCTTGTGATTTTCATAACACTCAATGTAAAAATACTAATTTCTTAAAGTGCCTGAAGTTCCTCAAGAAGCTGTCCCTGAAAAGAAAACACTTGGGGTTCTACCCCCAAAGCCAGAAGTTCCTGCACAAGAAGGTATATCTTGCTGGAAGCTTAAAAGGGTTGGAAAAAGTCTTCTGTATAATGTGTTTCCTGTTTGTCCTGATTCTTTTAACTCCTCAATGTAAAAATATTAATATCTTTAAAGTGCTTGAGGCTCTCAGAGAAGATGTGCCTCCCAAAAAAGTGTATTTATCACAAATGCCTGAAATCTTACCTGTCAAAGGTACATTCTCAACTGGTTCCCTTACAAGGACTAGGGAGGATGGAAAATAGAAAGGGCCACCTTTCTAGTCCTGAAAATTCTTGTGATGTGTAAATGTAACTCGTGTTGTGTTCACCACTTTTGACTCAAATGTAAATTTACTAATATCTTCAAAGTGCCTGAAGCTCCCAAAGAAGTGACCCCCAAAAAGAAAGTAACAGAAGTGCCTACCTCAAAGTCAAAAGCACCGTCTATTACAGGTACTTGCTACTACCATCTCAAGTTCAAGAGAGTAAAACGGTTCTTTTGTTCTTAAAAATGTTTCATTGTGTCTTGTGGTCTTTGTATTTTCTAAGTGTAAAAAATACTAATCTCTTTTAAGTGCCTGAGGTGTGCAAAGAGGTTGTCCCTGAAAAGAAAGTGTCTTTGGCTGCGCCTAAAAAGCCAGAAGTCCCACCTGTCACAGGTAGCTGTCACGCATCCGAGGCTTCACAAGACATACTTCTGATCTTGAGTAGTTCATGTGGTCTTCATAAATCCTAAGTGTAATTTCACTAATCTTTTTTAAGTGCCTGAGGCTCCCAAGGAAGTTGTCCATGAAAAGAAAGTGACCTTGGTGCCTCCTAAAAAGCCAGAAGTCCCACCAGTTAAAGGTATTTGTCACTACCTTAGGTATCACAAGACTTAAATCTTCTGCTCTTGGAAATATTTCATCCTCATGGTCTTCATAAGTCCTAAGTGTAATCTCACTAATCTCTTTTAAGTGCCTGAAGCTCCCAAGGAAGTTGTCCCTGAAAAGAAAGTGACTGTGGTGCCTCTTAAAAGGCCAGAAGTCCTGCCTGTCACAGGTACTGCTCACTCACCTGAGGCTTCACAAGACATAACTTCTACTCTTGAAAATAGTCCATGTGGTCTTCGTAAATCCTAAATTTAATCTCACTAATCTCTCTTAAGTTCCTGAGACTGCTGAAGAGTTTGTCCTGGAAGAGAAAGTGCTTGTGGTGCCTCCTAAAAAGCCAGAAGTCCCATCTGTTAAAGGTAGTCACCCCGATGTCACTGTGCTTGATATAGTCCTTTTGTCTCTACTCTGTCTAATCTTGAAAATACTAATATCTTTAAAGCACCTGAGGTGCCAAAGGCAGCTGTCCCAGAAAAGAAGGTGACGGAAGTTATTCCCCCCAAACCGGAAAGTCCTCCCCCTGAAGGTAATGTCAAACTGTACAAATTAGGGAGACAAATAACTGCTCTTTTAACTAGAAAATTATGTATAAAAATCTTAAACCTTAAAGTAATAGAATTCTAATTAAAGTAATAGAATTCTAATTTTTAAAACATGCCAGTAGCTATCCACAGTATCTTGGTGTATAATTATATGCTCTGATATTAATTGTTCTCACCTATTCTAAACACATATTTTAAATTATCTTTGAAGTGCCTGAAGTGCCACCAAAGGAAGCCATCCCTGAAAAGAAAGTACCAGTGGCTCCTCCCAAAAAGCCAGAAGTTCCACCTGTCAAAGGTAAGTATACTTACATGTTATCAGTCACCTGTTCAGGGGGGCGGGGGAAAGTGTGTAATGTCCACCTGTCTCACAAATTGTATTTGGTGGGAAATGCGCTTTCAAGATTCTCCCTTCATAGTTACTAACTAAAAGATACTAATATCTTCAAAGTTCCTGAAGTTCCTAAAGAAGTTGCACCTGAAAAGAAAATATCTGTGCCCAAAAAGCCAGAAGCCCCACCTGTGAAAGGTATTTTTTCCCACTTAGAAAAAAAAATACCATCCTATTCTCCTCATAATCATGCTAATACGTGCCTTCATGATTTGTAAATTCTGAAAATACTAATATCTTTCAAGTGCCTGAAGCTGCTCAAGAAGTTGTGCCAGAAAAGAAAATTCTCAAGGCACTTCCCAAAAAGCCAGAAGCTCCACCGGTCACAGGTATATGTCAGCTAAACCGTACTCTACAGAAGAAATATCTCGTTCATTCTCTAAAAACAGTTTTAGTCCATTTCTCTTCATTATTAACCAAAGTGTAAAACTACTAATATCTTTTCAAGTGCCTGAAGTTCCTCAAGAAATTATTCCTGAAAAGAAAAAGCCAGTGGTACCTCCTAAAAAGCCAGAAGCCCCACCTGTCACAGGTACTTGTCACCGGGTCTTTGTTCTGCAGAAGAAATATCTCTTTCATTCTTGAAAATTAGTTTGGTCCATGGCTCTTCATTAAATGAAAAAACTACTAATATCTTTCAAGTGCCTGAAGCTGCTCAAGAAGTTCCAGAAAAGAAAGTCCCCATGGCCCTGCCCCCCAAACCAGAAGTTCCCCCTGTTGCAGGTACTTTTGCCCCTCTCCTTATTCTTCAGAAGAAATCTCTTTTCTGCTTTTGGAAACATTTTTTAATCCTGTTACCTCACTAACCAAAGTGGAAAACTACTAATATCTTTTAAGTGCCTGAAATTCCTCAAGACGTTGTCCCTGGAAAGCAAACAGTGGTGCCTCCTAAAAAGCCAGAAGCCCCTCCTGTCACAGGTACTTGTAACTGACCTGAGGGTTTATAAGACATAATTCTTCTGCTTTCGAAAATGTTTCATTCTTATGGTCTGTAGAAGTCCTAGGGATAATTTTACTAATCTCTTTTAAGTGCCTGAGGCTCCCAAAGAAGTTGTCCCTGAAAAGAAAGTGTCTGTGACTCCACCTAAAAAGCCCGAAGTCCAACCTGTCACAGGTACTTCTCATTCACCTGAGGCTTTACAAGACATAACTTCTACTCTTGAAAATAGTCCCTGTGGTCTTCATAAATCCTCAATTTAATCTCACTAATCTCTTTTTAAGTGCCTGAGGCTCCCAAGGTTGTCCCTGAAAAGAAAGTGCCTGTGGTGCCTCCTAAAAAGGCTGAAGTCCCACCTGTCACAGGTACTTCTCACTCACCTGAGGCTTCCCAAGACATAATATCTACTCTTGAAAATAGTCTGCGTGGTCTTCATAAATCCTAAGTGTAATCTCACTAATCTCTTTTAAGTGCCTGAGGCTCCCAAGGAAGTTGTCCCTGAAAAGAAAGTGACTGTGGTGCCTCTTAAAAGGCCAGAAGTCCTGCCTGTCACAGGTACTGCTCACTCACCTGAGGCTTCACAAGACATAACTTCTACTCTTGAAAATAGTCCATGTGGTCTTCGTAAATCCTAAATTTAATCTCACTAATCTCTTTTAAGTTCCTGAGACTGCTGAAGAGTTTGTCCTGGAAGAGAAAGTGCATGTGGTGCCTCCTAAAAAATCAGAAGTCCCACCTGTTGAAGGTATTTGTCACTCACCTTGGGCATCACAGATCTACATCATCTTCTGCTCTTAAAAATATTTCATCGTCATGGTCTTCATAAATCCTAAGTGTAATCTCACTAATCTCTTTTAAGTGCCTGAGGCTCCCAAGGAAGTTGTCCCTGAAAAGAAAGTGACCGTAGTGCCTCCTAAAAAGCCAGAAGCCCCACCAGTTAAAGGTATTTGTCACTCACCCCACACATCACAAGATTTAAATCTTCTCCTCTTGGAAATATTTCATCCTCATGGTCTACATAAATCCTAAGTGTAATCTTACTAATCTCTTTTAAGTGCCTGAGGCTCCCAAGGAAGTTGTCCATGAAAAGAAAGTGACCATGGTGCCTCCTAAAAAGCCAGAAGTCCCACCAGTTAAAGGTATTTGTCACTACCTTAGGTATCACAAGATTTAAATCTTCTGCTCTTGGAAATATTTCATCCTCATGGTCTACATAAGTCCTAAGTGTAATCTCACTAATCTCTTTTAAGTGCCTGAAGCTCCCAAGGAAGTTGTCCCTGAAAAGAAAGTGACTGTGGTGCCTCTTAAAAGGCCAGAAGTCCTGCCTGTCACAGGTACTGCTCACTCACCTGAGGCTTCACAAGACATAACTTCTACTCTTGAAAATAGTCCATGTGGTCTTCGTAAATCCTAAATTTAATCTCACTAATCTCTTTTAAGTTCCTGAGACTGCTGAAGAGTTTGTCCTGGAAGAGAAAGTGCATGTGGTGCCTCCTAAAAAATCAGAAGTCCCACCTGTTGAAGGTATTT